AGACCACAAACATTTACTACACAAAGGCAGAATGTATATTGACACTAATTTAGGAAGGATTATTCACTATCGAGGTGAAATCTGACTTTTAGTGGTTGCAGATCACAAAGACCTTGCAAAAAATAGACAATTGCCGAAAATCTTGAATCCCTAAAGCCTGGCCTCCACTCTTAGCTTGTTGGCTGTTGTTACATGGTACTTTGCTTTTAATAATTGATCTCTGGTCTACATCGATATAACTTTGACAAGGGGAGTTGCATCACATGTTTTTAATGTTGAAAAAGACCCTCTTCATGACCTGGTGGTGGCATCATCCTCAGAAGTGTATGCCATGAAATACTCCAAAATCAAACCCTTTGCCTGAAATATTATCTCCACCTTTATAATCACATTAAAAAACTAAAAGCTTACGTATAGCTGGGGTACATAGCTTTTCCTCATAAAAAATAACAATTTTAGCCAGAGTCTTGTAAAAATAAAATGGTGGGATCCGATCAGACCACAACATACTGCTTTCACATTATTGGAAAACCTTTTATTGATATTCCACTTGTAAGAAAGGAGCCCTGTGAGTCCCAATTTGAAGCAATGGACTGAGAGAGTGAAGGTTGTTCGATATTTTTAACTTTTCCGTCTGAAAAAGCGTATCCATAGATGTGACAGTCCACATAATACGTGCATGTGAACATTAGTGGTAGAGCAACAACCTGATACGTTTGATTTTCTTATGTAGTTTATAGTATTGTGTCTTGAAAGTGACATACCCAGCTTTAATTCTTGATTTGTTTTGCTTCTCTTGCCTGTGTCATCCTGCCCTCTCCGGTGGTGGGTGTGGCTTGAGTGCTCAGGCTACATTGCCCTGTATCCATTACCTCCTCCTTGCCCTCGGTATAAGATGAAGGTCAACGAAAAAGGCCCGACTTTGATGTAATGCGAGGAAATCTCCAAATAGATGCCTGCAAAATGTGGAGGAGGCAGACATTGTCATTAAGCACCTCTGAAAACAAGCTCATAAAGCAGACAGATGGCGCGTCGACATGGATTCTGAAGTGTCTAAACAGGTGTCAAATGTGCGGTGTGAATAAAGCATCCCTGCACTGTCAATCGCTGCAGTGTTTCTCACCCTCTTTCCTTTCTCATCCACAGCTGAACCTCTGCCTCTGATGGACCTGTGTCGCAGAGCTGCCCGCCTTGCATTGGGACGTGAACGCCTTCAGGAAATTGACATTCTCCCTTTGCCACAATCCCTTAAGAGTTACCTCCAATATCAGTGAGAGCCGAGACGCTGCAGACAAGGGCAGCGTTTGAGGGTGTGATAAACGGTCTGAAGTCTGCACTCAAGAGCGCAGAGTCCCTCAAAACAATGCCTTTTTTATGACGAATGGGTTTCGACTGACAGATTGGGTTCGGCCCATAAAACTTCAAGAAGGCACCAGCTTCATAAAAATCCACAGCTGCTTTAACTTAGTCTGTTTGGGCTTCAATAAATTGTTAATGACACTGTCCCACTCTGAAAGGAAAGCATCCTCACAAAGCAACATGAGGTGAAATGGTCAGACAGACAGCGCTATCTTGTGACGGAGCTGAGAACTGCACCTTCGCTTAACGGGACAGGACCAAATATGGGCTGTGCTGCATTCAGGCGCTGCAGGGAAACTAACATTTTGAGCATGCCAAACCTGTTCTTGGCTGAAGTGAATATCTGGAGGAAGTTGTTGTCAGAATTGATGCCTCCACATACGTTACAACATACGTTACAACGCTTCTTTTATGATGGTTTATGAATTGTATTATTTATTATTTTACTTTTTATTTGATTTCCTATTTTATTATGGCTTACACAGAGCCTGAGTGACGGGATGTCAAGTTTTACTGAATGTTATTGTTATTTATGCAGTTGGCAGTGTAAAAAGTCTTATTCATGTCTATAGTCTATTTTGAATTAAAGACACTGTCAGATGAATGATGTGTATTGTTTTTTTCTGTAACAATTTTGACAAATTTAAGCCTCAATTAAAGCAATATTTATATTATAAAAACATTTCTGACAAGATGAGTGGTTATTGATACCACTTTGTTCAGGTTGTAATGTATGAACACCCTAAGTCTACATTTACTGAACTTTAATATAAAATTTAAAAAAAATAAAGCAAAAAAACATAAACAATGTAATGGTACAATTTAATCTGGTTGCAATACTGTAACTAGGTAGTGAAGCACACATAATTACAGTTTTGAACAAAATACTTTTTAATGTATTCATTAATTAAAGAAAGCATTGGCCTTTGAGCCTGGAGGTCGTGGGTTCGAGACTTACTCCATCATCTCCAACTCATGTCTGTTGTTGTGTCCTTGGGCAAGACACTTAACCCCACATTGCCTGAAGCCCTCACTGAAAGAACAAGGCTGTGTCATCGTTGACAGAGCAGCCATCTTCCCGTGGACCAGCCACCTGCAGAGGATCAGAGGGACTGGTGCTATGAGCATTGGGTGGCAGCTCTACTTGCCACCACCCGACCCAGAAATGGACGAATTAAGGGGTAGAAAATGAATGAATGAATAATCTCAAAGCTTAAACATGAACTGTTTTGAGTGTGTCAAAAGTGACCACAGACACGATTCTGCTTCATAAAAACCTCAGGCCTAAGGAGCAGGAGCAGCAGTGTGAACATCAGATGGTTAAGATACATCTTTTCTTGTGGAGGTACATTTAAAATGATTCTTAGGTATTTGGTGTTATAATGTTTGGCTCAGGTCACAGCTGGAGTTGTGGGTTTGAACAAAACTTTCTGAAAAAATGTTTAGACATTGCGGAAGGTATATATCTGACCGATCTAGACAGACAGACAACATGCTAATCAAATTGTTAATTATTAACTTAATTATATCATCACCAGCTCAGAGCAGTGATATCTGTGGCAGCAGTCTGGCTCAGGTCCAAATGTGCAGACCACACGTTCTGGATCTGATTAAAGGGGCATTAGAACACTAATTGGCTCATTGTATTTCTGTCTCTGGGGAAATGTTCAGAGAAGAAATGAATAATCAGTGTTATCTGGGAGCTGGACCAGAGCTGACCATTTATCACAAGTGGACAAGCAGTTGGCCTCATTCCAGGACAGAGAAGATCTCTAATCACACGACAAGGTGTTAAATGTTTGAAAAGGAAAAATCATGTAGGTTATATAAGAGTTTATAAAATGTATATATTTCTGCTTGAAGGATTATAGGACTTAAAAGGGGTCACAGACAAAGCAGATCACCTCATGCTGTGTGCATCCAAACAGAAAACAAATAATAAAGCACACGTAGAGTCTAAAACAAGTCTTTATTGGTCAATATACAGAGGAATCCCAACCATTTTGCTTACAAAAAGAAAAAGGAATCCAATATTTATAAATATAAAATAACATTTGTACAGGGTTTATTCTATATGTAAAATCTTCTTTATCATGTAATCTGTTGAAGCACGATACACAAAGGAGACGAAGAAAACAAGGCAGTTGTCTCACAAAGATGACATCACAATCACAGGTGCTTAGAGGCTGACAAACGGGACACAACAAGCTAAACGTGGAATTCAGTTTAATCACATATGACCTGGGCTGTTCAAAAGACAGGCCATCAAAATGAACATTCAAAGAGGATATAATCCTAATTTTGTTTCTGATTCATATGACTATAGTGCTTTGATTGATTTTCTCTTCCATCTGGATTAATTGCTAGATGCATTTTTAAAACGTTAAGGACCTTCAGTGGATTGTTGGTGTCTCCTCAAACTAAAAGGTGATGCTTCATGACAGTTTTGCTGTAAACCCACATTTGCATAGGGGACTTCTGTTATTGAGCGACGGAACAACAAGAGCATAATGCTAAACGCTGCTACAATATGATTATACTTCAAAAAGACATGGATTCATATATGTGACGTACAATGGTCCTTTGATGCAAGCATTATTTTGTCCAGTAGTTTGTTTTCTCTGTGAAAACCAAACCTTGCACTGGTCAAAAAAGATGACGTGACGACATGAAAATGGAAACATATAATGAATGTTATAATATTACTCCAATAATGCAGTGCAGGGTTCAGTAGTTTGAGCAACAAGACAAAGAAAGTGTTCTTAATACCACATAGAAAAACTTGTTGTCATGGAGATATGACTGCTTTGCCAGGAATGCATTATTATTATTATTATTAATATTGTTATTTTTATAATGATAGGCTTCACAGGCTTTATTGAAGCCACTTTTCATTCACCCATATTCAGATGTTATAAAAGCAAGGCAGCCAATCAACAGCACTGTCATTCAGTCACACACAAGGTTCAAACCTTGGTCCGTGTTATGGGTGGTGGGGAAAACCGGAGCGCCTGGAGTAAATCTACTCAGACATGTGGAGAAACATGCAAACTCCACAAAGCAGTCCAGGTCAGCACAGGACTAAACCCATGACCTTCTTGCTGTGAGGCCTAAGCACTACCCACTCAGCCACAGCGCTGCCATATATACAGTATATCCCCACGAGGCACACAGGTCAGATCTGTGGAGAGGCGATGTATTTTTGAGGAATATTAATGTAATAATTACATGAAAACGGAATGCCATATCATAAATATCTGAGGGAAAGAGAGGAACACTTCCATAGAAAAGGAGACAGGACCAACACCCTAAGTTGCATTGTAAGTAAATATTGATATCTGAAAATGAATGAATTGTTGATACAAAAAAACAAAAGTCTAGCTTCTGAAAAATGATGACTTAAATAATATCATGGAGATGTTTACAAACCAAACAGAGAGAGTGTATTATTTGTGTCAATGCAGTGACTGTGCTCTTCTCTTTTGGCTGTTTTTACTGTGAATTCAAATGTGGCTGATGTTCTGAGTTTGTCCAACAGAGGGCGCCCTTGCATCAGAAGTAATAGACCTACGTACATCAGACATCGAGTACATGTTCTGCATCATTTCCAGCAACAGATTGTGTTTGTGTTAGCGGTGTGTTCAGTACGTCCCAGAGCAACTGTCCCACTCTAATTTTGTGACCCGGCTCATCTCCTCTTCGTCCTCCTCGTCCTCATCATCAGTATCAGTGCACATCAGTCCCTCCACACGCTCCTCCTCCTCATCCTCCTCCTCACTCTCCTCCTTTGCCTCAGCAACTGCCTGGGCTGCACTGAGATTCTGAAAAGGACACATTTCATTACATCCATAAACAAGAATTCTCATTAAAGCCGTGGTACATCAATCCTCGCTCCCAAAACATTTTGGTTCTTTGGTTCATTCATTTTCACATGTATTTTAGATCAGCTTTTTCAGAGTGAAAAAAGAGAGGATCACTCTTGTTCAGCCAATCATTCCCAAAGCATCAAATAGTGACTCACTGAGCTCTTTCTTGCTATATTGGGTATTTAATAACATTTTGAAGCAACTGTGGTTAAAGTTCTAACTCATCATTCTAACATTATGCACAAGCCAGAACTTTTCCGCTGCATGTTTTGATTTCTGAAGACCAAGCTTCTGGCACTGTGGCGATAGCTGATTGGAGGACTCCATTCCTTCATGCTGCATAATATCACTTGCAATCTGTAATCTTTGTGCTGTCTCTACCAGCAACAATAAAACATGTCTTCTGTCTGAATTAAAGACACAATCCCAGACTTTGTCATCTTCTTCACTATATTCAATGTGTGGGGAGAGTTATGTACCCCACATTCAAAGTGACTCTACTTAACTTTACAGGTGTAGGACTTGAAATGTTCCTAATAATGTAATGATTCTGTTTTTTCCATTGACTCCAGTTTCTGGTCCCTGACTGATACAGTACATCACTTTATGGAGCCATATTGTCCTAGACGCCACCACCATCTATGGCTCCATGTTGTTGTAACAATGCACAAGAATTATTTTTTTCCCCCTTTTGAAAATAAACCAAATTCCACCATATTACTTACATTCTTTTTGTCAAGTGAAATTGAGAACAAATGAGAACACCTCATGCTGTGTTCATTTTAACAGATAACATTTTGCAGATTTGTAGTAGAATTCTTTTTCAGTGGATGAGCAGGTGCCAATACAACTTTTTGAAAAATGAAATGTACACATGTTTCCCCAGATCATTACAGTATTTGATAGTGACTCGATTCACAACCCCAGCACATCATGTCAGAAAGTCCTCTCTTCTGGCCATTGTTAGGATTTTTTTTTTAAATATTATCACCACGTCTATCCATCTTTGTAAAAATAATTAATATATGCAATGACAAAGAAGATGTAAAACTTTGTGACAGTTTTAATTCAATGTGGATTTTCTCAGGAATTACATAACAATTATCCCAAAACTAAGACTTTTGGCACATAACAGGAATGATTTTTCGCATGAATACAACTTACCTCCATGGGGTTGACAGTGATGGTCAGGTCGGGGTTGTCCCAGTCACTGTCACTCACTTTGGGCTCGTCCTCGTCCTCTCTGCTGCCCTCCTGATGAGTGGCATGAATTCTGTACACGCCGATGACCACAATCACCACTAGGGCGGCGATACACACCACTATAATTACAGTGGCGGCTGGTGGCGCGGGCCCTGAAGGAGACGACGCCAAGAATATAGTGTAAGATGCATGACGTGACCTTTAGCAGTAAGTGTGTGTGGAATGACATTTGGAGGCACCTGTCATGTGTGTGTTGAGAGAGTGGATCATCAGAGGGTGGTGCGCTGGTCTCATAAACTGGGACGCCGCCGCCATGTGGTTAACGTGCTCCACCGGGGCGGCCGAGCGGTGCAGCAGACTCATCTGTATTGAAAAAAAAAACATGGTTGGAATGAGTGTGTGCATCTACAAGAAAAGACAATCTTAAAAACCTATTATCCACAGCAATTATCTCTTGTCACAGAAAAAAATCTACTAAATCTGAAAAGGAAAACAGGCAGAAAAATAGAAATTAAATAAACTGAGCATAATGGACTCACTCTGAGGAAATGAAAAGTGACTTTATTTAATCTAGATGTGATTCGATCTGTGAAACTTGAATTACAGAGAGTGAAAGCATCTCCATAAAATTAGGCACTTTGGAAATAAATTGACAAACCATGACAATTCCACCGCCAGAGCAACACCAAAGGATTTCAATCAATTATTCAATTATAATTATAATTCAATTATTTCTTAGCTCATTGCTCATTGTAGTTTCAGGACAGTGAAACAAAACCTATTAATACATGTAGATGAACAGATAGATGAGTACATATATCCTGAAATTTATTTTGCGTACAGTAGACAAGACAGTCCGAACAGGAATCAGGAATAACTAACTTTGAAATCACAAGAAAAATAACAGCGTTATAGAAATATGGCTCTCAAAACAGGTTGTTCTAGCTCTAGTTTTCACATAAATTTTTAGCCTCTGTCACAAGATATCATGTTCTCCAGGCTCCCTCTGATTTGTTCACAAAGTATCTCTTAAAGGGACGGTATATCATATTTTATGTTAGATAGTATCGACATGTATCTTTGTTCACAGACACAGAGTAAGGTGAGTTATTCTTAACTTTCTTATTTTTTTCTTAAATTTCTTTATTATTTTATTTTAATTATTGTATTTATTAATTGCATTCTTAATATTCTTCATTTTCTATAACATTTTCTAAAAACTTGTGCGTGGAGGCTGTTAAATCACAGGCAGTAGGTTTCTGGCATCAAAAGTAGGATTGTAGTTGTAATGACCTCTGAGAGTGTTACATACATTTTACATATGGTCCCTTTAAACAAGACTCTTTGTGTTGGAAAAACACAATGTATTTATGAAACAACAAAAAAGTTAGGTATTCCAGCTTTAAATTATCAAATTTGATATTTGCTGTTGAAGATTGTTTACATACAGAATAATGTATGTGTAATGAAGGATCCATTCTAAAATGTAGGAACTGCTAAACAAAGTCCTGATATCGACACGACAAGAACGTTTTACACAAACTCACCTCCAGGTTGAACTCGTTGCTGGTGTATCGCCCATTGAGCTCTGAGCAGGTGACTCGGAACTTTCTTTCGCTCATAGACGTTGGCCTCCAGTTTTTGTAGCGGATCTGTCTTAGCGCCTGCTCATAGTGCGCCATGGAGTCCACCCCTGAAAAAAGCAAAAAGAAGGAACACATTCATTGTGTAAGTTTTGACAGGACCTTTACAGCTGTCTGTGCAATAGAGAGTAAGCGTGGCGTTTAAGCCTATTGATTTCTTTGTAAAGGCCAGATGCCACACTGACTGTTAGCCTGTCACTGAGGCAGGTGGGCCCAGTGACATGTGCCTACCATATATTGATATCCCGGAGGTGGAGTTGGTGGCGTCCAGGTGTTTTCCTAATAAGGCGCTGTGATGAATCTCCAGACTTTCTCTTTCTGGGTTTAATTCGTCACCAATTAGCAGCACGTCGCAGTAGTCCAGGTTATGCATGAGCTCCGTTACACCTGGTCTGTGCACTGCAACAACACGAGTAAACAAGATTTATGATTACAACAGTGTAAGAGAGGAGCCATTAACATCTATTGGACAATGCACTAGCACTGATTATGACGTATTCATTTGTGGGTCTAAAAGAATAGAATGAAATTCAAAAAGGTTACATATAGTATGAGATCTGGAAATAGAACAATTCTGAGATTATTAAGTAAGGTTGTCCAAAGGGTTCCAAATAATAAACAAATCATGACTAATGTCTTATGTTTATTTTGTTGAAAATCGGTTGAAATCAAAACATGTTCCTAGTGCGTGTCCTCCAAAGCACATGGTCCTGTCCTGTGGTCAGCCGCAGCTCCCAGCACCCGTCTCTTTGATGCAGAGTGGACATGAACATGTGGGTCCCTCGGGTCGTGACTCACTTCCGTCCTGTCCGGCCCCTCTGCTCACGGTGCTGGTCAGGTGGATTTCTTTGAAGGGTGCCACACCGAGCGGCCTTCGCAGGTCAGTGGCTGGGCGAACCAGCCGGTTGGAGCCAGCGATGGTGATCCTCGGTTCACTGGGAGTCATCACCATGACGACAGCCTTCACGTCTGGGATGGACAGACAAGTGTCTTCCCCAAAACACCTGAACACAAAGGAGACACATATGATGTTGATGTCACTGCATTCATCCTCCACAATGTGTAATGTGGAGTGTGCCAGCAGGAGGTTAAGAGTCTATATCAATAAATAAATGCTACACACGTTTTACAACGACTGAATGACCTTGAAACTCCCAGAGGAGCACACACGACCTTGTTTACACAGAAATCTGCTTGATATGTTTATTTATCTCGAACAGAATAAAGCTGACTAATATGTTGTAAATTGACAGATAAAACACTGATTGGCCAAATTAAAAACCATAGTTTTATTTATTAAAGGTGCATTGTGTGTGAGAGAGTGAGAAACATTATTTTCACAATCAAAAGTATCTTTTATTGCCTGATGACATTTATTGAAAATAAGGAAATATCCAAATATTTCCATATTATTCATGCCAAAACCTGTGATGAGAGCACGTATCACACCCAGCTCTCCTTGACTAGATGCAGTTGGCATGTGTTAGAAATGAACACACAACATAGATTTGTATCAGCACCCTTCACAAAAAAATACTTTTCACTTTTAAGTGAGTATTAATAATTCAAATAAGATTAAAAAGATGGCACTCAAAATGCAAACACTAAAAATGTGTGTATAGGGCTTTACATGCTACTTATACTTGCTACAATACTAAGGCTTATGATATGGAAAATTCCTGGAGAGGACTCTGCAATGCCAAAGATTTTTTATGGGGAAAATATGATGGACCCTTCGCCACTTGTGCTGTAATGTTGCATTGAATACTGTAAGTGCATGTCACTCACTGCACAGTGGTGGTGATGTGCAGTTTCCGGAGGCCTGGAGTGGGGAACTGTCTGGAGTTGATGTAGGACACTTTGGTCATGGCTGTGTTGATACTGTCCAAATCCTCTCCTTCAACCACCAACACCGACTGAGCAGGATTAAAGTGAAACTACGGCCAAAAAACAGGATTAAAATGGACATATTTTTTTGCATTTGCTTTAGCATTTATTCAAGCCTGAGTACATTTTCACACCTTAATGTCCTTAGCCAGACTTTCCAGGGAGTTGATATCAAGGCCCTCTTTGCAGGCCTGTAGACAGGAGATAACCTTCTGCGTCTCAATGCGGCCCGGCCGGATTGTCAGCCCTGACAGACTGCCATGGAAATACTGCGTGAAGCGTGGGGTCGCTACCTCTCCACCTGAGACAAGAAAGTGGAGGGAAGATAAGGAATTATGCAAAGACCACATAAAGGTATTTTATGGATAATACAAATATGCAGATATTACTGATGAAGTAAGAAAAAACTGAATTCTATATTTTAAGATCCATTTGGCAGTTTAGACATCTACAAACTTTGTGACACATATTTTTGCATTGGGAAGAATCAAAGCCTAAGTAATCAGATAAACACATAACAAGTGAAATGAATGGCACTGCTGTGACCCGAAACAAGTGTGGATTATAAAGTTATGACAAAAGCTGTAAGCATTGGTTTCTCTCTTAAGTGAAGCAAGTTTATTTGTCGTGTCAGCTGTGTGACTGCAGTTTCCTCCTGTCAAAGACCATCTGCCTCCACAGAGCCATGTGCTACATAATGTACTGTGCACTGGGGCTTGAGGGGGTCTGCAGTGGAGCAGATATCAATGAGAGCAGCCACAGCTGGAGGCTTCTGGTTCCTCAGCTCTGTCCATGTGAATCACACAGAGAAGCAGACTGTCAGTGAGGCCACACAACCACGAGAACTCCAGGGCTGCCTTCAGAGAGCAGGGAACACCTTACAGATGCTTTTGTTACATCTTTGTAAATACAACTTAATCTTGAGATGAAGATTTTTTTGACGCTGCTCAAAGTTTTTGGAGTGTGTTTTTAGACAAAGCTGAGTTATAAACCTCTACCATTGTCTATTTTGTAGGTTGAATATGCTCAGATGATTTTGAATATCTTCATGATAATGGTTTGTTTTAGGTTATGACCCAAAATTATTGTCAGGTTTTCTTTATTTCTGCAGACCACACCACATCAAGTCTTTTCTGTTTTCTCCTGCGCAGTCCCTGTGACAAATGCATCCTTGAAAGCTTTTTGATCAAGCTGAGGTCTTTGCATTTGAGAAGGGATATTTCGGGACTTCTTGTGTCTAGACGCCCTCTTCTTCTATTAGTTAATAGACAGAAGACATGTGGACTGAGAAAGTGCACCCAGTCACTGAGCTAAGAGCCTGAAGCTGCTAATTGAATGAGGGATCATTAGCAGGAGTCTACATATTCTTTGCTTGATGAATCTTGAGAAGCCATCTGACATATTCTATTTACACACAGTACGTAACGCATAGTATAAAAAAGAATGGTAAGAAAATAAAAATACACCCGATAACACCTTGTTAGAAAGAGAATAGGATTTAATCTCAAGTTCCATTCTGTTGTAGTACAAAATATTCTGAGAGCTTTGGTTATATAAGTGGCTTTAAATGCAAAGATTATAGACAGAGGACACATGCATTGGTGGGACTGTGTCTCTCAGTGGACCAGGGAACGCCTCTGGATTTCTCTGGATGAGCCGGAGGAAGTGTGTGGCTTCCTCCACACACTTGGGAAGTCTGTGTGCGCCTCTGCTTAGATCGCAGCCCAAACGACTCAGCAACGGATAAAGCGGAAGAAAACTGATGGACATGAGATTTTTTAAAAAATGTTTTAAATTGTTTCAATTAAAAGTTAATCCAAACTTAAACTACAAACTCGGGGGGAGGTGGTGGTGTCATCTCTTCTGAGTGTATGACTCGGTGGTATTTGCATTGTTCCCATTGTTTCATCGTTGGCGTGAATATTCCTGTGTGTATCTAATATGTTGACTGTTTGTGCTTATGTCTTGTGTCTTGTGTGTGCACAGGGTTAATTATTGAGAAAATAAAGGATGATAATACAAATTAAAAACTCAAAACTTCAAACATATGTTTGGATATCATAAAAGTATGATATTCAAATGAGGACTGAAATACTGGAATACATTATAGTTAAATAACTACATGAAATTATGAATTATAGACCTATTTTTAAAGTAAAAAACGTGTTATATACACAAAAAAATACAGCGTAACAGGGACTCTTCCTTGTATTGTATTGCACAGTTCATTCTAAAGTCTATATGAGCTCCATTTCATTTCATCTAAAATTAAAAACTCAAAACAAAAATACAGATTTTAAAAGAATGATGTCCAAATGTTCCCATGCCCAGAACAATGCAGTTACACATCACTGCACTGGAAGACTGATGTTGTGGCGACTCACAAAATCAAAGGAAAAGGGAGAAAAACGCCACCTTATAGTGAGAATATTGGTTTTATTTGAATACTTTTTACAGTGTGGTATATGCTGTGCACAATTCCTTGAATCTTGCAGAACATTACTTATGGAAATGTTCGATGTAGCCCGTTTGCACAACCTTGTATTGTGCCTTTGGACTCTTTCCGAAACACACTTTGAATGACTTCTCTTCCACATGTCTTCCCATTATGTTGTTGATTGTGGGGGAGAGGGGGTCCGCCGAAATGAGGCACTCTGAAAGGCAATCTCGCCTGCTAATGGCCTGCAAAGTTATCAGTTGCGGCTTAGTGAAGCTCAAAGCGGCTTCATTGGGATGTAATAGCGGGCAAACTTGTCCTCTATTCACTCAAGCTAATCCTACCTTCAGGGCGTTCTTTCACAATCACGTACATGGAAAGAACCAAAACGATGTGTGAAGTTTGACATAAAAAGAAGCAAAGAAAATGCAATCAGGAGCATGACCATTATGATTAGATGAAAAGAAACAGGAAAAATATGGAGCTCAGCGGAGGAGAAATATGCTCATGTGGACTTTAGGAGGAACTTTGCAATTCAATACAAGGAGCAATCCCTTTACACTGGATTCTATTGTGTTTAAAGGAGGACGTTGAGTTTTGTTCATTCATAATAGGTGTAAATGTATTCCAGTCCTAAAGGCTATTCAATCATCTTTGGGCATTTTACCTTAAAAACTGTCACAAAATTCAACATATTCTTTGTCAGTAAGTAAAGCAACTACCGGTAAGTAAAACTGTATTTATAGAGCACAACCCAGAAACTGCTTTAATGGAGGATAATAAAACAATACAATACAAATATGAACCATAAAACCTGACCAAACAAAAGCAGAATGAAGCAAAAATGTCTTCAGCTGCCATACATAGGCCAAGCGTACAATTATTATCTTAAAATGTCTAAAAGTAGTGACAGTATTCAAAATATATATGAATGATGTTGGCCTGTTTAAACATGCCGGGTTTGTAAATTCAATCACTATCAAATAATGAACCTTTGGACACTTTCTATACAAAAAAAAATGTGCTTCTTTAACCATGGTGTATACTGGCACCTGCCCTCCAACTGAAATGTAATTCTATAACATAAAACGCACCCTTTATGGTTTAACTAAAATAATCTCCCTTCAATCCTCGGTAATGAAAGGCGGATGAGTGTGGAGAAGGTGAAGTGTGCACAGACCTTGCCAGCAGGCGCCCACTGTCAGCTGCGTGTCGATGTTTGAAGCGTGAATGGGCCAGTCGTCTGTCACCAGGTAAGGTTCAAACGTCACCCCGTCCACGAACAGCGTGACAGCCGGGAACTCCACATTGATGACATAGTAGTGCCATTCTTTGTCACATATCTGCAAACAGAGCGGGAGGGGCTCATTACCGCTGGGGTATTTCTGTATGCATTCATATGAAAATATATTCATGAGAACAAGAAAATAGGACAGCGGAAAGAAGCCCATTATTCCCAAAGCGATATGTTTTTCAGAGTTTGGCAGCGTTTTTCCAAAGGAGGCTTGTCTTTACAAAAATGCCTTATAAAGCTGATGTTTACAATCATGAAGCCTTTTTCTCACCTGATGCAACCAAGTCTCGGCTCATCAGTGGCGGATTTTTCTGTCGTCAAATATACTAACGAGGCACTGCATAATGAGGTGCGTGTTCATTAGCAGAGGGTGAGTGACAAATACAGCCTGTCACTCGTCAGAAATGGTCATTGATGCGCAGAGGGAGAGGCACGTCCCGCTGGCTTAGACGTGAGACTGTGGTTTGCAAAGAAGAGGACCACTATTTAAATGCAGTCTCTATGTTTGATGATGGAAATGTATTTATAATTATATATGAGTGAATATACTTTAATATTTCAACAATTACACAGTAGCCCTTCTATAATCACCAAACCAGCAAGTTCAGTAAGTGAGTAAGTAATATTTATTTATATAGTGCCTTGCAGAGACAGTCACAAAGCTCTTCACAGTTCTTGTGGGGTTGCCATACAGGAGGTGCAAGTCAAACCTATTGTACATGTTTTTAGTAGTAGGAGAAACCGGAGCATCCAGAGGAATTCTATGCCCACAAAAAAGCCTGGCCTGGGGGTGGAATCTAACCCAGGACCTTCTAACAACCCTTGTACCATGCCCCCTTTAAAAAAGTTATTGAGGACATGTCATGGGAAATCGCTTTGAACTATATTTTCCCACTTCCCATATCCCCATTCTATCAATCAATCAAAGTTTTAGTTTGTATGGCACAATTTGTACACCAGGTCTTCCAAAGTGCTTCACAAAACATTTAAAAACACAAATGTGAGGTAATAGTAATCATTTACACAATAATTATAAGACAAAAACAGGATAAAAATGCATGCACCACACCATGGCTCAGACATCTGTGTAATCGTACTCTGATAATTCGCCAGCGTTGATTATGATGTTTCCACAAATTAAAGCACAAATTGACTCCTTTCTTATATTGATTTTTGAGATTTGAGACCGTATTTGCTTTAAACTAAAATGAGAACAGGTACAACATAACAAATAAATGTTCAATACAAATACAAAAATAAACATCTAACCTCAACTGTACTTAAATGTTCAAGCCTTTCCATCCCCACAAGGAGCAGGTTAACTAATGGTGAAGCTCGGTGTCGGAGCCGTGTCGTTCCTTTGGGGGGTGTTTGGATTTGTACCTCAGCCGTTGTTTGTTATGAGTGTGAAGAGACACAGAGTCCCGTGGGACGTGGCGCTCTGTCAGCACCACGCCCTCACGCACATCCACTCAGCAGGAAGCTTGTACTTGTACCAGAGAAGACTCCACCGTCAGACTGCTCTCTTTTCCCAACAGAGCCTCGATGTTTCATGCACTTAACATCAACCAAACAAGATCTTAGACGAGTGTCACAAGCAAATAATACTTTTGATTGCGAATAATTACCATTGACAAGAAAGACCTGCCCTGCTCAACATGCTGCCTGTAGGTGGAAGGCCGACTTCATCTCTTCATTTAAACAGAGTTGAAGATAACACAAAACAACCATCAACTGTAATCAAACACTGTATCAATCAGGACCACATTTAGTCCTGGTTTAGACCTACTTTAGTCCTTGCTCAGTCAAGCTTTAGTCCTGGTTCAGTACTGCTTTTGTCCTGCTTTTGTCCTGCTTTAGTCCTCCTTTAGTCCTGGTTCAGTCCTGCTTTAGTTCTGTTTTAGTCCTGCTTCAGTCCTGCTTTAGTTCTGTTTTAGTCCTGCTTTAGTCCTGCTTTAGTCCTGCTTTCCGTCGTGCTTTACACCTGCTTTTGTCCCGCTCCAGTCCTGCTTTAGTCCATTTTAAACAGAATTGTAGTTAGTTGCAGCAAGGAACGTTATTTCCATCCTTTAACACAACAACAGCCATTAATCAATGTGTATTTTAACTGTTATCAAACATTGTATTTGTGAAAGAAAAGGCTTGTTTTGAGCGATTATATAGTGTAGTTTGGGCAACATCCAATTCTTCAACTGAGTAGCATCTATTTCTATAATAATTGTACCACTTAGATTTGTAATTCTGTGATCCCTTTGGAGTGATATGTGCCCTAACATTTAAAAATGCCATTGTTTCTCTTTAATAGATATTTTTATTCCAATATTTTATTCCATGTGAGTGTAATTACTGCTGACATGATGACCTTCTCATCAAATCAAACAGCAAAGAAATATGAACAGTATTTTAGTGCAAGTAATTTAGCAACAGTCAGAGAGTTTCTGCAGGAGAATTCTCATGACCATTATTTTTCAGATGGAAAAGGCACAAAGAGATCAGTCTCTGTCATTGCTGTGTGAGTCGCTTTGATAAGAAATAGAAAGAGGCAGTAGAGGGTCATCTTTCAGACATCTGCACATAATGTTGATTTTCAGATAAGCTTGAGAAAAGCTGGTGCCATTACCCAGCACTCGTCCGAATCTCTAAGTTGTTTACTTCCTAAATTTACCAGACACACACAGGTACACATATCACTATCGTTAGCAGAGCTGCTGAGATAAGTTTTCTTAGAATGCATTACTCAGAGGAAGCGCTAGCAAAACAAGATAATGAATGCACAAGCGCCGTAATGAGCCAGTCTCCAAGCAGCCTTAGGAATGATCCTGACCAGGCAGCTCTAGGGACGCTCCTGACCAGGCAGCCTTAGGGACGCTCCTGACCAGGCAGCCTTAGGAATGATCCTGACCAGGCAGCCTTAGGAATGATCCTGACCAGGCAGCCTTAGGAATGATCCTGACCAGGCAGCTCTAGGGACGCTCCTGACCAGGCAGCTCTAGGGACGCTCCTGACCAGGCAGCTCTAGGGACGCTCCTGACCAGGCAGCTCTAGGGACGCGCCTGACCAGGCAGCCTTAGGGACGCTCCTGACCAGGCAGCTCTAGGGACGCTCCTGACCAGGCAGCCTTAGGGATGCTCCTGACCAGGCAGCCTTAGGGATGCTCCTGACCAGGCAGCTCTAGGGACGCTCCTGACCAGGCAGCTCTAGGGACGCTCCTGACCAGGCAGCTCTAGGGATGCTCCTGACCAGGCAGCTCTAGGGACGCTCCTGACCAGGCAGCCTTAGGGACGCTCTTGACCAGGCAGCTCTAGGGGCGCTCTTGACCAGGCAGCTCTAGGGACGCTCTTGACCAGGCAGCTCTAGGGACGCTCCTGACCAGGCAGCTCTAGGGACGCTCTTGACCAGGCAGCTCTAGGGACGCTCCTGACCAGGCAGCTCTAGGGACGCTCCTGACCAGGCAGCTCTAGGGACGCTCCTGACCAGGCAGCTCTAGGGACGCTCTTGACCAGGCAGCTCTAGGGACGCTCTTGACCAGGCAGCTCTAGGGACGCTCCTGACCAGGCAACTCTAGGGACGCTCCTGACCAGGCAGCTCTAGGGACGCTCCTGACCAGGCAGCTCTAGGGACGCTCTTGACCAGGCAGCTCTAGGGACGCTCTTGACCAGGCAGCTCTAGGGACGCTCCTGACCATGTGCAAACGTGCTGAAAGCATGTTCAACATACGTCAGAGACTAAAACTTTACACTGGAAATATAGAACATTTTGCTGTCTGAAATAAGTTGTAGCATTCATACCTTTTGCATAGTTGCATAGAAGGAGAACCATACAGGTACATTGTTCCAAAGTCTCGTAAATAACCAAATAGCTCACAGCTTGTAAAAACTCCACATAAATCATCTCAGAAAATTAGAATGTTTTGAAAATGAACTGTAAACCATGATTATCAACATTGCTTGTCATCATTGTATATTATGTGTCACTTTACGTGTAATTCGTCCAAATTATATATTGGTTTCACAGTATAGGTTGAATAACAGTAGTGAATGCTTGTAATTTTCCAAGTTTCACCTGTACAAATCGACGACTTCTGATTTTGCAGAAGATAACACAACGCAAAACTTTAAATAGAGGTCAAGATTTTGATGCCACAAATATTTATTTTTAAAGCTTCTGACATTTGCATTGTTTTAAAATGGCTTCTTGTTTCCTCCTGAAATGACTAACTACTCTTCATCAGAAGAGTGGTTTGAAAACAGCCTTGACCAATGTGTGATTGGTTCCTTGATTAAAGAACTTGGAAGTTCAGCATACAGTTATGTAATAGAATAAACACATTCATATTTTCTTAGGCTAATTAATAAATAATAAAACTATGAGCCAGCTCCATTATGGTGTCTGTACTCTCGTCTCGAATGATGTTAAATCTTAATCTAAACTAAACAGCGTCTCCAGATTTCCTGTGTTCAATGCATAAATCACTGTGCACAACAGCCGGGTTTTATCGTCGCGCATAAAGCACAGCAGATAACGCTGCCTATCTGCGGTGAATCTGTCCTGGCATGTTTACGGGGAACTATCACATTATAGTGGCACAAAAGCAGTCAGGTTGTGAGAGCTGATTGGACACAGAAATTACTTTGGAAACCGGAGGATCCACCTGAAAGACCTCTGACAATATTGTGTCATGCTGTTAAGGCATTGGCTTTCAAGAGGAAGAAGAATAGATCAAAAAGAAGAATAGATAAAAAAATGGGAAGAGTTTATGAATGGGAGGAGAACATGCATCTCTCCATCGTTCTCTGATGGTGACCATCAAGGATGCTTTTGAATATTTTAGAAAGCTGTCACAATTGGTTTGTACTTATACATCACTAATGGAACTGAACAAAGTTCACTTTAGTCCTGGTTCAGTCCAAATTTAGTCCCAGTTTAGACCTACTTTAGTCCTGGTTCAGTCCTGTTTCAGTCCTGCTTTAGACCTGCTTTTGTCCTGCTTCAGTCCTGCTTTAGGCCTGGTTCAGTCCTGCTTCAGACCTGCTTGTGTGCCTGCCCAAA